TAAGGTGTTCACTTACCTGTGTAGACTATGTTGTCATAGTTGTCATGTATATTGAAGAATTGGGTCACATACATTGTATAGCCAACATTTCAGAACCACGCCGGGTCCCTTTGTCAGGGCGAACATAGTGACAAAAGTGTGAACTAGACATGTGCACCAGCAAAAAATCTGTTAAGTTTCGTTTTGATTCCGAATTTGCATTATTTAGTTTTTCGGATTCGGGTCCGAAATTAAATTTGTTTTGGAATTCGGACGAAATTCGTTAGCGGTAGTCAGGTCGAAATTTCGTTTTTGGATGAATTTCCGTTTTTTGGACAAAATTCCGGGTTTTTTTGTACAGTCTGCAGGCTGAAAGAAAAAAAAATATTTTTTTTTCTGTCATTTTGCTTCAACGAAATTTCGTCCAATAAACGAAATTTCGACCAGACTACCGCCAACAAATTTCGGGAAATCGGATTCGTTTGCATTCGTTTTAGCTGCAATTCGGAATTTCCGAAATTTCATCCGAATTTCGTTTCGGACTGAATCGCACATCTCTAACATAGAGTGTATTTGACACCATCCAGATTGTTCCACAAGGGCAGACACACTTTGCCCTCTTGTTCTTGCTGTCGCAGCGGGGGCTGACCTTTGGCATATGATCTAGGACTGCCCAGATATCTACACCTACTAGTTAAACATTACCAAGTTCATAAGTGATAAACTGGGATCCCCCCATATTCATAGAGGGTTATTCACTATGGAGCCGAAGAATCCAGCAGTAGCCAAAGGGCCGACCTTTCTCCATGCAAATGACAGCTGGGCGGAGCCAGCTGTGATCTCACGGCTGGCTCGGCCCAGTTGTAATGAGAGATCAGCGTCCCCAAATGACCTGGGGACGCTAATCTGTCATTAAACAATAACAACTGGGCGGAGCCGGCCGTGACGTCATGGCTGGCTTGGCCCAGTTCTTAGTTATTGGCCGGCCCAATTGTTTTTATTTTTCCGGCATCTGTCAGATGCATCATTATGTGGCGGGAGTTCGTTGGATGCGGTCGGGTCGGCGTGCATCCTTCTTTTAAAAATAATTTTTTATGTCGTTGTGGACAATGCTGGACATCGTGATTTACGCTAGATTAAGTTGGCAGATCAATTTTTTGTTTAAAAAATAAATAAATTACTTGTCAAAAACTTGTCTTTTTTTTTTCAATTACAGGAATACTTTTTTAAAAGTCTGCCATCTTGTTTAAACATTTAATTTAACCCTTTAGTGAATGGGTAGGGGTACTCTGATGTGAATAAGCCCCCTGCCCACACCCCCACAACCAATGCCCCAGGGCTTGTGAGGAAGAGGCCCTTGTCCCCATCGGCACGGGGACAAGGTACTTTTCCAGGGGCGACCCTGGAAAAGCACCCTCCCAGTGCCGAGTGCCATGTGGCCTGGTATCGCGGGGAGGGGTTAGCGCTCACTCGTCCACCCCCTTTCCTGCCCTGCCAGGCCTGTGCTCGAACCAAGGGTCTGGTATGGAATTTTAGGGGGACCCCATGTCCCTTTTTTTTGCATTTTTGGGGATGGGGGTTCTTCCGTAAAATTCCTACCTTAAGGGCCTAGTATGACTTTTGGAGGGAATCCCACACTTATTTTTTCTAATGGGGTCCCTCCTAAATTTCCTAATGGTATTTAGTTGTCTCCAATTATAAAAAGCCGACAAGTTTTTTCTTTAGAACTTTTTATTTGTAAAATATAATGAAAGAGACACAAAAGGAATGTACATGAAAGGAATGTACACAAAAAAAAGGGATCTGGGGGAAAAAAAAACCCTTTTAAGTGACATATAATAAATTAAGATTTCATGTTAATGCTCATGGGAATGTAATGAATCCTCTCAGAATATAAAAAATACAATTATTTTCAATGCATTACATTTTTGTACAATAAGTATACTAAGGTGGTACGCCAATCAACCTCTGGATGATTTTAACTGCCGTGTGTTTTCTCTTTAGAGGGATTTTACATTACTTGTCCCAGGGAGAGTTGTCCTGGGGCAAAAAGTCAGGGGAACTCCAATTGTCCAATATAATGGCGGAAAGTGAAGCTCTCCCAATGGGCCCCAGTGATAACAGTCAAAGGTGGGACTTCCTTTTTTTGTTTTGTTTAGACCCCCTTTTACTTCATGTCATGAGATTGAGAAGTAAAGGGGTTTTATCAGGAGATTAGGAAGTAAGGGGTACCTTTGATCATGAGATTAGGAAGTAAGGGGTACCTTTTATCATGAGATTAGGAAGTAAGGGGGTGCCTTATGTCATGGGATTAGGAAGTTAGGGGGTGCCTTATGGCATGAGATTAGGAAGTAAGGGGGTGCCTTATGACATGAGTTTAGGAAGTAAGGGAGTGCCTTATGACATGAGCTTAGGAATTAAGGGAGTGCCTTTCGTAATGAGCTTAGGAAGTAAGGGGGTGCCTTATGTCATATTAGGAAGTAAGGGGGATACCTTATGTCATGAGATTATGACGTAAGGGGTATCTAATGTCATGAGATTGAGAAGTAAAGGGGTATTTTATGTCATGAGATTAGGAAGTAAGGGGGTACCTTATCAATATAGAAACATACAAGTATAAAAAAACATGTAACCCTTCTCCACTTTATGCAAAACTATTATGAAAAAGGTTTGGTGGGAATTCTCCCCTTAAGTGAAGATCATCTATAAACCTCTTGATAAATATCTCTAGATGCACCCAACAGATCACAATTTAAAAAAAACCCCACCATTACATAACACAACCATAATATCATTTCAGGAATACAACTTTTATATGAAAGAAAAAAAAAAGCTTCCCGTTAATCATTTTTACTTGCTTCTAACAGTCATACACATTATTAAAAAATCAGGTTGTGCGTGTGGTCACTCTTCCTCAGCATTTCATACAGGGCAGTGGTGAGCAAGGGTACAGGCAAAGCATGACTCCTCTGACTGGCAATAGTTTTAAACAAGAGCAGGTGCACACAAGAAATGATTCAGGGTGTATAATTCCCTACATTGTGTATCAGCAGCTGCCCAAGATCAACAAACAGGAAGTACAGTTTCTGGACATGTAAAATAGCTCCACCTTTAGACTTTTGCAGAAAACCGTTCATTCAGACGGGAGCTGATAAAACAGGAAAAAGATGAATGAGGAGTAGTGATCTATAGCAGCCAAGCTCAGATCGGCCTTCTTTAGCCTGACGTCTCCATGGGTTGTAGCTTAGTTTGAGGGAGAAGAAAAGCAACCAACATCTATGGCAGGATTTTCACTTTGTCAGAAAACATCTGACCAATCAGATATATTTGTAGCAGACGTTGCTGCAGTATATGTATGGCCAAAGAAATTCTTTAAACACTTTTCTCGCCCATAGATAGTCCTGGATGTACATTGTCTTGGCCCTTGTATCTATTTTCAGGTCTACAAAACCATATCTTACACCATTTAATGTTAAAGTCCAAAGTGAAAAGCACAAAGTTCCACGGAGTTCAGTTTTCCTTCATTTTTTCTTTCGCACTTTTTCTCTTCCTCTGCAAAGTTTTCAGTTCCGTCATCACAGTCAAGGTTTTATAAACCCAATGGACCTATTATAAATGGCAAGGTAAGAACAAATGATCAGTCTAATAATGTATGGGTGAACAAACACATGAAGATATGTAGGTTTTTAATGATGCATCATCCAGTTTATTGTGTATATGAACACTAAGGGTAAGCCCAGGTTGAGACCAAACCCAGTCCTAACCTGAGCTGCCCCGACCCTGGAAGAAAACTCCTTTGGCTGCTGTCAAATCAACTGCAGCGGGACATTTCCTGTCCACAGCTGCGCGTGAGCAAAGGGGCAGGATGCAGTGATGTCATTGAACTTATATGGCTACATGATCAGTACACGATCTCCCTCTGATCTCCTCTCCGGTATCAGAATGCAGGAAGTGATGTATGTTACATCACTTCCGCATTCAGCTGTCATTCCCGACTACAGAAGCAGATTTCTGCTTCTTTAGCTTCCCTGGGGGTCCCTAGGTGACATTAGGGGTCTTGGAGACCCCTGATGTCTCCATAAAGAGGACCTGTCATGTAAATTGGCTATCACATAGGGGGCTCCATTGTGCCGCACATGTTACATATCACAGCGAACGTCGGAGTGAGAGCAATAATTATGGCGCCATTAATCACTGTTATCACTAAACTGATGAGCGGTAAAAGCTTTTAAAGCGTCACCTATGGCCAATTTTGGGTGTGGTAGTTTTTTGCTATTTTGCGGGCACGCACAATTTTAAGGCTTGACATGTTTGGTGTCTATTTACCCGACGTACAGTCCGTGTACCCATTGCACTCCTGACCGCATATCCATCAAAATAACGTGGGTGCTCGGTAGTCGACGGATGGCCACCGTCATAACGATGCAAAAGAATATGGACACCGGCACTCCAAAAGTAGATGGAATACGTCTATTTATTTGACGTACATGCAAAAAGATAGCATAGCACACTTAGTGCCACGTTATGCCGGATGAAGGGGATCCTACGTGACCCTGAAACGTAGCACTAAGTGTGCTATGCTATCTTTTTGCATGTACGTCAAATAAATAGACGTATTCCATCTACTTTTGGAGTGCCGGTGTCCATATCTTTTATTTACACGTATTTTATATTTTATCTGAAGTGGACTTGAGCTTTTCACTTCAGATTGTCCAAAGTTACCTTTTAAACTAAATGTGGACTTTGTGCTGAATAACCCACTGAATATTTTAAATCTCTCTGAGCAGCATTTTGATCCGGGTCTCCTCCACATTGGTTTTCTCAGCACACTTTCGCCAAATAAAATTGTTTCAATATACAAATGAATTAGGCAATAAGATCAATAGAAGTTACTTGAAATACTGAAGGCATTACTCACCACAATTATTATCGTATTGAACAATAACGGAGCAGAAAAAAACAATGAAATGAACATCCCAGAAGAATCGAAGTATTGCTGCTTTGAATAGCTTCTGAATGACAGAAAAGATAAACAAAACCATTTTAAAACTGTGAATATGGAGAAAACTATACTACGAGGTCTACGAATATCTAAAATCAATCATTCCATTAGGGAATTCAACACACAGACTTAGACGCAAAATTCAATTCTTCTAAGAAAATAAACACTTCAGGTTCTATATCTCCTATTCACCAAAATGGTTAGTTTTACAGAGCTGCCCATGTTGGTTATTAAATATATACAACCCTATACAGCACACTAGGAATGTACCGATACCACTTTTTTAAGACCGAGTACCGATACTTTTGATCAAGTACTCGCAGATACCAATTACCGATACATTTTCTTAAAGGGACAGGTCACATTTTTTCTAAAGCAATACAAACTAATGCTTTAAGGTCACTTTCTTAATATTATGATTCATGAGATGACGAGGGAGCATGACGCCGGCTTCCCGGCCAATCCGAATGCCGGGCGCTGCGTCATTACACGGCGCCCGGCTTCCGGATTTGCTAGCTTCCTGACCAATCGGGAAGCCGGCTCCATGCTCTCTCATCACAAGTGACGAGAGAGCATGGAGCCATTTCCTGGCCAATCAGGAAACCGGTCAGCGTGTAATGATGTGCTGCCCGGCTTCCTGATACAGGAAGTACTCGTGCTAGGTATCGGAGCATTTGGGTGAGTACGAGTACTCACCCAAATACTCGGCATCGGCACCGATACTAGTATCGGTGCATCCCTACAGCACACCTCTCCTTACAGCTCTGCCAGAGAACCTTAAAGGAGAACTATGGGGTAAGGCGTTTCCCCATAGTTCTCCTTTAAGGGCCCATTCACGCTATGGCATTGCAGTAACACACATTACATGTGTTGGTGTGATGTGGTGCCATTCATTTTGAATGGTTTGCCTTTATTTGAATAAAACGCTATTATGCTCTGCGATTTTCTGCTTCATATTCATGTCTGAGACTATATGGGACACTACTGTGTGAGAGGAATACCATCCAACTGTTGAGCCAGGATCAATGTCAATAGAGGCCTGCTGAAATCATGATGTACAATGCAGAGCTCACAGCCCTGCATTATACCAGAGGATACCGAGGGAGCTTTAACCCCTAGGCATAAACTAGCAATTAACCAATGCAGCACAAGGGTAGCCACACTGCAAGGGTTGTTTTTTTTTTCCATTCTTCCCCGGAGATAGGCTTTCAATATCACTGTGTTTAGACTAATATTAAGCAGTACCTTTGGATTGTATTCCTATGAACTTGTATGGAGACAAATGCAGTTATGATCAGAATGCACAAGCTCCAAGATGGATACCCACCTGTCACTGTCAGATGCTAGACGGTATATACACTGAGTGGCCAGATTATTATGACCACCTGACGCTTGTAGGCAAATTAGCTATAATTACGCGCTGAAGTTGCTAGATGGCCAGACCATTATAAATAGGGAAGCAGGTTGTTTACCACGACAGTAGAAGTGATTTGTTTCTGAAGCTATGGGTAAACAACGCGATTTAACAGCCTTTGAACGTGGGATGATTGTTGGCGCTCAAGCCATGGAGCGAGTATCAGCAAAACAGCAAAATTAGTTAAATGTTCAAGAGCAGCTGTTGTTAAAGTGTTTAAAGACTGGACTGTCAGCCGAAAATCTGGGTCTGAACGTGCAAATTGTGGCCGCCAGCAACTAGTCAATGTTAGGGCAGAACGGAGAGTGGCAAGACTGGTACAAGACAACAGAAGGGCAACAGTGCAGTGTCAGATTCCTCGCATCACCTTTCATCATCTCGTGGAGTCAATGCCAAGAAGAACCGCCGCAGTATTGAAGGCAAAAGGTGGCTCAACGAATGAACTGATGGGGTGGTCATAATAATCTGGCCACTCAGTGTA